AAAGAATGTCTATCAAAATAAATTCATGAATATTGTACTCTATATAACATATAAGTTATATAACGTATTGTATTATAAGTTAATTTATGTCAAATACAAACAATATTCTGTTTTCTGGTCTAAAGCTTAATCACTTATTTGACGCAAAATACATTAAATGCTTTTATATTTTCATTATGTTATGGCTAATCATAAAAGTCATTCAATACTATCTATACCCCTATTATTAAGAGCTTATATAATAAAATATTCATCACAGTTTCAAATATTACTACTTTTTCATCAAATAAGTTCTTTTGTAATAACTTAGCCATAAATCATATTTATTTATTGGAGGTATATATACATATATACTGTATATGAGAATAAAGCATAAAATATAAAATAATATTCTCCGAAATGTAGAAATATTTTATTATTGTATAGCAAAATAACATGAATGCGATAAATATCTCATATCTATTGTCATTTTGTAATATAGCGAATAGTAGGTGTAATAATAGCTAACAAAAGTGTATTGTATATTAAAAGCGAAGATTATTTTCAAAACAAAATACCAGTAGTTTTAAAAATAAAATACAAATAACTTGACTATAGATTATAATCGAGGGAATACTAAAAATAAATTGTTTACACAGTATTTGAGTAGTCTTTCAATAAAATAGAGAACATTTGATATTAAAAAAAAGAGTAAAAATAGTATTTTCCTGAAATCGCTGTCTATTGAAGTGAGTGATAGTGATGGCAATCATTACGACAATAGCATCACTGATACCAATGACGGCAATCAGTGTTCACTTAACGCAATACTACCGCTCATTACGTCCTCATCCCAACCGACTCTCAATACAAATAACACATATCTGATGGCAATCTTAATTCATTTTGGTGTCGATTTTGCCGCTTTTTTATGCCTCAAACATCACAAACAGTGTATAAAAATGGCTTTATGTGAATGAAATCAATTAATACGTACAGTACATATACAGTACATATTTTACAAATATCCTCGATATTCATACAAAACAATTACCGTTATATTCATGTTGTGACAAAATTTTGTGGACTTATACGGCAATACATGCAGTGAATGAATGAATGACTAATACTACTAAATATTTCATAAAAATGTAATTTATTTGAAAACATATTTTCAATTCTGAATAAATTATTGAATTCATTAAAAATTTCTTAAAGATATATCTCGAAGCAATGATTTCACGTAAAAATATTTTTACAATTTTGTTTTTGCATTAAAAAGATTAAACTTTTTCGAAAATAGTGATCAATACACGGATAAAACAAAATGTATTTTGATTTTCCGACATAAATGTGAAACCTATTAAATTTATCACAAACAACAACTTATCAATTAACGGCGAAAATATATTTTGCAAAATAGTAAATTTGAGTAAATATTTAATTACAAATTAAGTGAAATACAGTATACAAAGTATAAATCAAATACAATTAACTGCAAATAAATAAATTAAAATCCATTAATAAAAGAGTAGAAAACTTTTCCGAAAAAAAACTTTTTCACCGCTAAATGTTAACCAATTATTTGGATTAAAACTAATGGTATTTGCAAGTCTCAAAAGTCTCTTAAACTTTATCTAATGTTAAGTCAATGGAAGGATAAAAACGAAAAATTCAAAGAAACAACAATTTTTCTAAAAAACTCTGAAATTCAATATTTTCTTTACAAACATTTTATGAACTCTACTTAGAAAATGAATTTTATGTGAATTCATTCAAAAGAGTTTTTCGTATAAAATGTACATAAAAACAAGAATTATAAAACAAATAAAATCCATGTTCTAGTACTGTATCTCAATGTATAGGGGATTGAATTACGAAAACATTAAAAGTTTATTTAATAAATGTATGAAAACTTGAACCAAATCCGGGGTAAAAATTGTGACCTTTTCTGCAAATAAACACATTTTTTATATGGATAATCAAAATAATTGCTTTACATTAGTCTTACATAAATGTAAACACTTTAAGAGAAGTTGAGAACATTTTCAAATGAAAAGATTAATGCTTTTCAGAATTTGGGATTTATTTCACATTTTCAATACATTATATTTTAAGTGAATATTTAGATAATACTTAAATGAGTTACAAAACACTTTTTAGATATAATTTTATTTAAATTGCATTTAAAATTTAGTTTTTATTATACACAGAGTGAGTGAGTTAAGTAAATAAGTGAGTGAATATGTTAGGGAGAGAGAGAGAGAGAGAGAGAGAGATCGCATAACTTGTTAATAGAAACTTTCAGAATTAAATTTAAAACTTGAGATAAACATTATTTTAATTTTAATATGAGAATAAAAAATAATATAGTTTCAAAATTAAGTGTTAAATTAAATTACATTTCCAATTTGTAATGATTACTATCGAGTACAAAATAGGCTACACTTATAGATAAAGTGTAATCACAAAATATATGAATACATAATAGAGATGACAACATATTAAATATTATATAAGTTTATTAGTTCTTAAGGGACGAGAAAAAAGTGTGTTTAAAATAGTCGTAAAGCTATTTAATGTGTTTACGAGATATTGTGTGGGAAAATATTTGATTTAATCAGTAGTGAACGTAAATTCATATCAAATATTAGTTTTAAAAATTGATAATTACAGGCATTGGCGGTAAACACAATCGATTATACAGTATTAGAAATTTAAATACACACTAATTATTTAGTAATGTTTGCTATTCTTTAATTTATGGTTCAAATTAGAGATTGTGTGGGAATTCATAAACTATTTAAATGCACAGTAATTGACAGATATATTAATAAATACATATAAGGCTTGTCATAAATTATAAAATTGCATAAAACAACAAAAACAGAGCAAAAACTTTATAATAATTAGCAAACAATATTTGGTTAGCATTTAAAAATACCAGAAATGAGAGCAAAAATAATAATAATCGTAAATAAGCAGAAAAAACTTTCAAAATAAAAACAATATTAAAAATATCTCTTAAAAATTCACGTAATGTTAGCAAAAAAGTCAAATTGAATGGTATTTTCCCAGAAATTCATCTCAAGCTGTGTCTCAAATCGATTGCAATATTCATTTGAATTACAAATAGTTTTTTCGCAAACAACTTATTATTATAGCAAAACTATTAATAGGTATTTGTATAATAGTTGCACACAATTATGAGGTATGAGTTAAAGGTTTATATACTGTACGCATAGTTGTGTTCAATGTATATGACGTGAAAAAGTGTCGGAATTTTAAACACAAAATTAAATTTCACTTTTTTGCCGTTAATTGCAGTCAAAAAACAGTGAAATTAAACATAAAAATAATATACATTTTGTCGCAAATGAATACTATATACACGGCTACAGTAGTACATTGAGTGCTATAATTGAGGTTAAAATACAAGGATTTCTCTTACATTCAATACTTTAGTGAGTGAGTGAGAGAGAGAGAGAGAGAGAGAGAGAGAAGTTTTGGAAAGAAAAAACAAAAACACTAATTGAATGGTTGGGTTGACATACCATTGGTTGTATTGGGGGTCGACATCGTTGGTGACACAATGGTTCATGTCTTCATGTGGTGATCACTGGCACTCATGTCAGTCACACTGCCATTCATACGGACTGATTGTGGCAATAATGCATGTATTCATGGATTCATGGATTAGTTCATACGATAATCACTTTCATATTCACGTGTCATATGAATAACCAAAGGCTTGACTCGTGAGTAGAGTTCAGATGTGATGGATGTTTGAGATGTTGTGAAGAGTTAAACACAACTCATAGACAGACAGTCAGAGTGAGAGTCACTCGCAGACCACAACTCCTATGAGTCCTCCCATTCACTCAATACTCAGATGTGTTTAGCGATTGTTTAGTGCTTTTTGTGTCTACTATTGGCGGCTCTCATACACTGTGTTGTGCTGACAGTGAGAGTACAACACCGACAGAGACACCACTACTCACTCGCGAGCACTACTCGTACTACACTATCCATACTATCTGTTACTATATTTTCATTGAATATCGCACTCCCAGTGCACTACACTTACACTCATTGCGGCACAATATTTAAGTAAAGGTCAGCTGTTGTCACGACAACAACCATTCATACTATACCTCACATTCACATACACTGTGGCATTATGGGGGCAGTTAGGGGTCGACATCACACACACCTCATATCAATTAGTTCGCTACACTCCATGTGATTGATGCCTAATTAGCAGGGTTGTCTCAGTGGGTTTTAAACGCACGCTACTCACAACATACGTTACACGATGTGATGGGAACGGGAGGAACGGGAGGAAGGGTATGATGTGCGAAATGTGATGAATCTTATGGTGATTTAAATCGATATATTATCCTATATTTAACTTTTAATAAATAGTTTTAAATATGAAGTAAAGAGTGAAAGCAGTGAATGGTATTGTGTTTTGCTCTTAACCTATATGTTTAAGACAAACGCAAAGCAAATACACATTTCTTTGGCATTTAATGAATTTAATGATCAATTTAATTGAATTAAAATTTCAAAGCAAACATAGGATTGAATGCAAACACAAACCCAGTGTTTGTAGAGATACTCATTGTATTTGTTTAGTCTTCTCGTATGAAATGTCAAAACACAGCGTCTATTGATTTCCATCAAATCATTTCTCTTTTATTTAGTTTTTTATTTCTTATACAAAGAGTAAAAACAATAGTAATGTTGAGACAAACGCTGCAAAAAGAGTAAAACAAATCCGAGAAATATTTACAGAGAAATCAATTGCGAGAAAAGCATTAAATTAAATGAATTGTTATTTTTGCTTTCATTTATAGAAATGTGTTTTTTGTGAACAAATGTTTATTAATAGAGACCTGTATTGAGGGTAAAAGTAATGCAAAAAACAAAAGACAACGCAAACTGTTTGCCACAAAAGGACTAAAAGACAAATAATGAGATGAAGACATAGAAGTGGTAGACATATAGCACAGCATTGTTTAGACAGCAGTTCCGCGTTCGAGGTTTTGTTTGATCTCTTGGGTGTATTGTCCGTAAAATCGGTCCAACTTTTTGTTGAATTTCATATTCCTTTCGTTGATGTAATCGATGTCCGCGTCGTCGTCGAAACGTCTTCGGCGGCTATATTTAGACCTCTTGTCGATCTGTTTGTTGAGATCGTCGACCATGCGATCGATGGCCTCCTTGGAGTCCTTATGGGAGCCGTGGATCAGAGTGTTGTGATTGGCGTAGAAGAGCTTATCACCCACTTTCTGCTTAGTCTTGTGGTATTCCTCTAAGTCTGGCTTCATTTGTGCGGTGAGTCTCTGGTACTGTCGAGCGGTGGCCGCCTCGTAGTCGCTGAAGCCGGGGTCGGGATTGTGTTTGGCGTCCCGTTTCCGGTGCCACCGCTCCGAGTCGTCCGCCTGAATGTCCAGCAGTTTGTT